AACGAGGCTGTAGCGAGGTCGACTGGGCTAACTATGCCAATAAATCAACAGCCTTAATGAAAATGTGGCGCTATCCGTTGCAAGAGCGCTGAACGAGCGGTCTTCTCTCTCTCTCTTTCTCTCTGTTCATCGTTTAAATGAAATGAAAAGAACGTGCAGCACTGGAAAATACCCTCCTAAAAATATCAAGATAAGAGCGAGTCGACGATGAGAAGCCCTGTCCAAAATGAGAGATGGAGGCAGCTCATTTCGTAGGAGAGAAAAACGCGCACGAAAACGCGATATTTTTATAGACATCGGACATATCCGTTACACATTCGTTAATAATTTATGTTATAATGTCATTAAAATTTTTAGCCTAATAATAAGGGTATTATAAATGACTTCAAATATTTACATACATCTGTCATAGCATATATAACATATATATCATAGTATTAATATTTATATAATTAAAAAAATTTTTTTAATTATGAATTTAAAATTAAATTTTTTAATCTAAATATTGTTGACGCGATATGTAGTAACTCGGTTTTAAGAAAATAATAGAATAACTAAAATATTTCTTTGTTTTCTGAAATTATTTAAATCATTTAAGAGAAAGAAAAAGAGAGAGAATAAAGATTATTATTATTACAACAATTACAAAATTGCTCATTATTATGGATATTCGTACATTAAATTAATCGAAAGCATTCGTACATGACATGATTTCCATAGAAGAACGAAAGGGAAGGAAAATAAATATTATATAAGAAATGAAAAGCATTCTTTTTCCGTTGTAAAGATATAAAATATGACATAGCATATGCCGCTCTATGCGCGGTGGTTATATACGTGTCCAACATGTATAATGTCACGTACGTGTGCTTGTTATAATTACGACAGCCGCGAGTGTACCTAAAACAAGTTTGTAATCGTGAAGAATGAGCGAAGACGACCCTCGCGGCTGTGCGGCAAATAGGTGAGCCCGATAATATATGTACAATATTTTTAATTGTTGACGTTAAAATGTGCTCCCTTGGTTTTTTCTCGTTAACGTGACGTTGGAGGGTCCGAAAACTGGCTCGCGTCACGTTTTCGGCCGAGCCCTCCGAGTTATTTATTTCACGCTTAAAGAATCACCCACATTGTCCATACATACTGCCGTTGAGCACCGTCACATGTAGACGACTTTGGACAGACTGTCTTCTGCATACATGGAAAAAATCTGACACGAAAGATTCGAAAATATCACGGTAATTAAACAATGACATGAGTTTCAAAAAATGAATAATATTTATATTATTGACTATATATATGTTATATAATCATAGTTATATATAATATTAGTATTATTAATTATATATATATGTTATATAGCTTTTTATACGAGCATAATATGAAGGATTGCACAAATTAACTTTCTTTTTTAATATTGTTACAATTTAATATTATTATTTATATTTGTTTTAATACCGTTTAACATACATATACTATATGCATATTTTTATTTGCACTAACTTAGTTGTAAATAAGTAGCATTCAATCGTTTTGGAAAAAAGATTGTCTTTCGCGAGGAAATAATATTGTATCGTGGTTCGATTGACGCGAGGACGTTCAAGTTTGCTATTCAAAAATTATGTACCCTTCGAACATCGTTCTGTACGATTACGAGATACGATCGAAAGAAACAAAATCGGAGGAGGCCATTGTCGAGACGTATTCATATTTGGCTCCTACATTTTGCATGTGATTCGTACACAATGCGGTCCATCGGAAGCTGTCGTCTACTACTTCCGCTATCTGACTGCGGCACGTCTGCCTGTTTCCCCCTTCATTCTCTGTCCCGACAAAATTCCGACGTATTCGCATATATTTATTTGGTCCTATGGAAAAATATGAGAGCGTTTTTCAGCGAGTTCTCCTTTGCGTTTTACATTCTCTCCATATCGGAAAAGTGACTTGGAGAATAAGATTGGCAGGGAATAAATATTAATTTATCATACATGTTTTTTATTTTTCATTTTTCAAAAATTTTTATGATAATATTTATGTATGAAAACTTAGGATAAACATGATATTTCTTTATACACATTAATAGTAAGATTAAAAATTATTAGTGATTATAGCGATTATTAATTCAACTATAATATCATGTATGAACCGAATATTAATTTTAACAAAATATCCTAATCATAATAAATTCAATAAATCAATTTAAAAGTATTACACGAGGAAATAATGAACAGATTGAAAATAAAATTCTGACGTTTGCGTGAAATACGTCGATCGTGCGATCTAAACGACGTATCTACATCTTTATTAGGAAGACACGTGTGGTTCAAAAAATGTTTTACCCTAATTACGAAACAATCTTGATTAAATATATTCAAGTAGATTTTCACTTGCTTTTCTTCCTTTCCACCGTGCTCTTCTCTAACGCTATCTCGAACGCACACATGCGCGCACAGTTGTCACGTAATGGAATATATTTGTTACCGCGATATGATAACGGACCGTCGTAAGTCAGGGAATCATATTAGCTCGGAGAGATTCTAGTCGCGAAGCATAGCGTGATTTTTCAATTTATTAAAGCCGACGCATGACTTGTAGGACTACCGCGACGAGCAATGTATGCAGATAAGGCCGAAATTTATGGTCCACCTATTGGAAATGCGATGAGTGTCCTTGCTAATGAATCGAATTCAGACCTGAAGAAGTCGTATTACGCGCGCATAAATCAAGAAGGAAGCACAGCAATAATCGGCTAATGTAACCGGAAGTGCGTACGTTTCGCACTTTATCTCGGTCCGATCTCATTAAATGCGAGTGCTCCCGCAATTTTGATGCGATCGAATCGCTCTGTATCAATTGTCGTCGACACCTAGGCGAATTTGAACCTAATTACTTTATTGAACGTATCAGGGAACAACCCGAATTAGGGTGCGCGTGAACTATCCGGATTCGTAACGTGATCGCGATAATCATCCCTCTTACAATTAGATTGGCGTGAGCAGTTTTTTGCAGACTGATGTTAGATGCATTCGTGTAAAGCTGCGAATTAATAAAATTTGTAATATCTGTCATTTAAAGACAGTTAAGAATGTTTCATTGTAAAAGATTGAAGAATTAATGGAATTATTTAATATTGTCTGAATTTACTGTTGCTTAATTAATATTGAGATATTGTTATATGTCAGTAATTTTATCCATTTTATTTTTCTATGCTACGTGTATGTTAATTATTAAATTTTTACATGTATGCACAATTGTTGCATATTATACACGGTAATTCCGCTGATTCACAGAATGCAACAACGCCTTTCATTACCGTGTATTTGTGGGCGTATGAGAATGACAAACGATCATGAAAGGGTCGATCGGGTATTGGCATGCCATGTACGCGCAGGGTTATATAAATGAATCGCGTCCCCGGGGCCGTATCTTACGGGAATACGAAACATTAATGGACAGATGCGTTTTTGCCGACGGGAATGAATGGTCCGTAGCCGCGTGTCGATTTATTCTCGATGAACGATTCTGTCACGTCGAAGGTACGTCGCGAAACCATTACGATGAAAACATTTTGATTATTTTTTCTGTGAAAAATGTCTCCGTAATCGCGCGTCCATTGTCCAGACATTGCTCCATTCCAAAAAAAATTAATGTGATTAATATGAAACAAAAATAATTCATCAAGTCATGAACATTTTGTATGGAAACAAATGGTATATATATATATATATATATATATATATATATACATATATATATATATATATATATATATATATAAAACTACAATATGATTGATGAATATGATTTTTCAAGAATCGTGAATTGGAAAAATTCTTTTGAGTTATTTTCTCGAGACATTGATAGAAAAGTAAGCATATTTCGCTGTCTGTCAAATATATGAAGCTAAGTATTTAAAAAAATTTTTTGCATTTGACGTGCTGAAAATGGAAAAAAAATGCGCAGCACTTTTCGCCAGGGGGAGCATTCTTTGTAGCTCAAAGGTTTCGCTCAAATAGTTTGCAACAATGCGTTGCGCACACTTCAAATTGCCAGCATACTCGAGAAAAAGAATATCTACGTCACGTAGACCAAAGGAACGTGTAGCAGTCTTATGATTCAGCAAGGTAAAGTACCGCGTGTAACGAGGGTTAGTCGGGTATTTGCATAATGATTGCAATTATTATTGCCTTACCGCGCGTAATCTATAATTCAGTTCAAACAATAACCGCCAATGCATCGGGGACACGAGAAAGGCCCGTTAACATTCCCAGAGCGAGGTTGGTTGCTGGTGCAACACGGTGGCCCTTCACTCATTAGCGAGTGTCGACGAGAAGACCAACACATTGCCAGATATCGGCATCGTTGTGTACTTGCGGTTATAGTAGATTAGCCGCCCTTAATGTCGTTCTTGTCGCGATTCGCCCGACAGTTGTGATTTAAACCGAGAAAGTCACGGCAAAGCGACGAACATGTCATTTTATTTTTATGACCGTGTAATCATTCTGTCTTTCTAATCTTAATCGAGCGAAATTAAACTTTTAAAGCCATTTGCCATTTTCTATTATTATTGACTTTATGAAAATACTATTATATACATAATATATTGACATTATGAAAATGTTACATAGAAAACTTTTCTTCTGTTTTTCTTTGTCTCGAAATAGTTCTTTAATAGCGATAATTGCATATTATGAAATATTAATGCGATTCATAATATTAAAATTTATTATATATTTATTAAAATATAAAAATCTATATATATAAATCTATATTATCTAGGTTTATATATTTATATAGATGTATATATTATTATTTATTATATTACGACATTATTATATTTGCATTATTAATTAGCATAAAAATATAAGAATATAAATTTTAACGAAAATTGCAGACGTATTTAAAATCAAATTATAAAAAGACTTTAATATTATTGTCTGGTATTAGAATAGCTTTGTGTGTATTATAAAATTCAGCAGTATTCTTTAATATTTTTACAGGAGATTACTCCAGTGCATTCGTAAGATGCAAGCATCATCCCCGAGTCGGTAGGGTAGATACCCCCGGAGCTAAGGGGTCGCTACTCGACCGTTTTCTTATCGACTGGAAGCTTCATGCAAAACGGCTCGCTAACTCCCCGATAGAAAGGGGTAGCTGCGAATTGCCGCCGTCGATTTGAACGGCTACCTAAGATCCATCCCTTCGGGCGAACATTTGGCCGCGTGATCTCAACCGATTCCGGATAAATGGCTGACTCTCTAATTGGGTAAGTTATGATTGCATCGAATATATACTGAGTTGCTTCGAAGAATCAGTTCTTGCATCTTGTATCCTCGTTTATGCATGATTGCTTGTCGATGCATTGCATGATATCAAAATGATGCAATTGCGCTGTATTTCGCATTCCTTTAATGTGAGAAGAAGAATAATAAAAGAGATAGTAATCTATATTAATCTATATTAAATATTGCTAGCCTAGTTTGAAGTTTGATGCGATTACTTTATTCTTGATTTATTTAATATTCGTTAAATATCTCACGAATAACTGCATGAAGGAATTTAAAATTTTTAAGATATAGGTTTTTTTAATACGTTTTTCCTCTATTTTAAATTTTTAAGGTATACGTTTTTTAATACGTTTTTCCCCTATTTTCTTTACATTGAAAATGCGATACATTAATATATTGATTATATATATATTTAATTATATAAATTTTATTTTAAAACTAGAGTTTTTGTTAGTGTGAGATGAGTATAAGTTTTTTGATTTTATTAAATTTTTTCTATGATGTATAAAAATAGTTATTTTCTTCTATATTTAAATTAATTACATTTTTTTAAATATATATATGTTATTGTTTATTCATGTAATTACAATGGGAATCGATAGAAACAAATTCTTTTCACAAATTTTTGGTGATATAAACCTGTATTTCGATACATGTATATATGTTCCTTTTGTTATGGAATCCCAGTGTGAATTATGACTACCCAATAGAAGGAACTCCCGTGAACAGTATATTGGATTCGCGATACGCATTTCGCGTGTTTCGTGATACTCAAATTTCAGCCGATAAATCACGGTTGCCTAGATCAGTGCAATCTCGAGAGGGTCGAAAGCAACTTATGATTTCTCGGGTTAAACGCGAATGCGGAATCATCGTTCCTCTTTAAATTCTCGGCTACATAGCTTGTCTAAATTCTAAGTTTAAGTCTTTAGATTCGGTATTATTTATATTGAATTAAATAAAAATTACTTTTAAAAGAAAATCATATATACGATTATTTAAAAAAAAACTCATTTTGTAATAATATTGTATATAATATTTTTTATACAAATTAATTTTATTATAAAATAAATTATTATTAATAGCAAAAATAATAAAATAATAAATATCCTAATTATAAATAAACAACTTTAACGTGTGTGCATATATATATATATAAAATTTTTCAATTTACTTTTTAAGATTTTATTATCTCCGACTTATATAAGATACGATAAGATATATATTGGTGCTTTTTTGAAGTGAAGTTCTTAATGTATTTTGTCGTATTATAAAATATTGATACACGCATTACATTTACTGTAGATATTTTAGATGATGCTTTTCACTGAGACAGAAAGAAATCGAGTTTTATATTTTATCAGGTGATTCAAGTTTTCCCTAATGTAGCTTTCGCCGTCAACATGTTTTATTCCGTGACTTTTATATTTTTACATGTCAATTGAAAACGAAATATTCATGATCCATATTAATTTTTGCAAAAACTTTTTATTTTTAATATAATAGAAAGGATTTATATATTATATAATAGACATGCATAATTATCAGAACATGGAAATTTATTAAGTTTTGAGTTTTTTCAGACAGACAGACAATGTCAAATCATATTGAAATGATTCAAATTCAATTAAAGTGCACTTTAACAATTATTATATTATATTAAAGGATATAAAATAAAGGAAAGTTTTATTTAAATCATAAATTATTCACGGATTTTTTTTGTATCATTTTCGTAACGAGGGTACACCGATGTCGGCCATCATTATGCCTACTGTATTGGTCGAGCGCCCCTCAATAACCTCGATACAAAATTCTTTTCACGTTGCTCTCAATGGTTAGATATAGGAAATATATGAAAGGCTCGACGTCTGATTCAACCGGCTCAATGTTGGTCGAGGCTTTCTCTCCAAAACACACGAGCGCCGTTTGTGAGGCGCCTATAAGCTCGGACCTCCCCTCCCCACGTAATGAAACATAAATTATTCAATCGAAATCAGCTGCAAACCGCCAAGCGCGTCGGCGTCTACCACGACGCCGAGTCCTTTCTGGTCAAAAGCGGCCTTTTAAACCGAAACCCTCGATCCTTTTCGCGAGAAAGGCGATGAAAGCGAAACAGCCGACCTTTGCTGTTTTTTTACGTTCATGTTTCGAACGATTTCACTTTTTTCTCGACGCTGAATATCATCTAGCATATACGCGCCTTTGGTTTTTACTCGAGCAGGTAATTGGAAAATTTCGACTGTCCGTATTTCCCATGTCGAATTCTCGTTATTGAAACGTGCACAGAATTTCGAACCTAAACGAACGGTTTATTTGAAACGTTTAAATTTTTTAAAAGCTTTAAATGGTAAGTTGAACATGCTATGCAAACAACGTAGAGAGAATACGCGATTAAAAATACACGAATAAATTATTTTATACAATTCTATTGAAGAGTAACAATTCCAGGAAAAAATACAACAATAAAAAATAATATTAATGATTTTTTCAAAGATTTTTAATGTATGGAATTTTAATGCATTTGAGATAAACGATTTATATCTTTAAATAAATATCTTTTTATTTTGGGGGAAAAAGATTTTAATAATTTCTTTCCATTCTTTCCATGTAAAATATCTTTTTTTTTTCGTTCGCATAAGACATCGGAAACAGCAATACACACCCCGCGTATCCCCGAGGACCTCTCCCAATTCCACTTCCGGAACGGGCACGCTTTAAAATTGAATGCACGACTCAATTCCGGGCGTGTCGACACGCGTTTCAACGTCAACCGGGAATAGACGTTTAGGTGAGGCCGTCAAATAAAATACACTCGTCCCATGTGAAGGGAGTGACATGAAACCGTCGCGATTCTTCCGCGGAGGCTTCATGTTGTGCGTACGTGCATGTCCTGCAGACGCACACGCATCTCGCATCAGGAATCGAGGCTAATATAGTCACGCAATTAGTAAAATATGACAACGAATATTTTCTGGGAAGTATCTGTAATGAAAATGTACGTATCACGCTAATCCCGGTATATGTAGAAAATAATGATTATTTCATGATTTCAAACGAATAAATATTTTTATGCAATATCTTATAGTAGTATAATAAATAAAAAAATATTCGTGCTTGAATGTTTGCATAATTATTAAATATATGCAATATTAATATCAAAAGTTCATATATAAAAATAATTGAGAATGCTTGGAGGATTTCTTGGAATAATCTAAGATTGTGATTTGCCACGTTGACTCAAGTTGCAAACTCCCACGCGCTTCTGACAGCCTAATTAAGCGCCTATATACGACGAAAGATGAATTAGAATAACGTTTATCAATGTTTAGATAACTTGGTAAAGTGCATTGTGTTGTTATTTGATAAAGAAAACATCTGGGGACGCGTGACACTTTTTGTCGCACAGAAAATTCCGTGTATTTCAACGTAAATCGGGGACAATATTTTCATATCAATTTATGTGAGATGCAATTAATTTCATTATACAAAGTTTCACGCGTTTCATTTACCATTACCATGTGTAATATTACTGTTCTCATTGAAAACTACAGTCGGTTATTGTGTATTAACAAGAGAGTGTGCAAAAATTGCTTGTTTATTGCTGTGTGTCACATGCTCGAGTTATATAAAAATTCTTTCCGATTATTCATGATATTTTACCCAACGTGACAATAAAAATTTAGAAATTTCTATATAAATTCATTATACAATTTTTTATTTTTTCTAATATTTTATTTCTTGTCAGTTGCATTTTTTCTACATATAACAGTTATCGCATACAATAATTATTATTTCGCTGATAAATCGCTGCGACAAATAACTAAAATTTATCTATATGCATATATAAATTGATCTTCTGAATAATATAATTATATTTTACTTATATCCGTTTTGTAATCAGGCTGAAGTGAACATGATGATCATAGTAAGGCTCGACGCTCATCACTGATGAACGAAAGAGGGAGTAATGTTACCCTAGTCGGCCGGAAAGGCACGTATAGATTTTTATGCAAATTCTATTGATATCCGATTGTGGCCGATGATAGTGCATGAAACATGCACGTTCTGCGATGCCAGTTAAAAATAACCTTGGTCTCTGTTCTATTGTATTTTCCACGATTGGTCATTGCTGTTCGAAAAAAGGATGCGATTCGTCGACCTAGCTTTAATGAGGGCGAGGTATGGCAAATCGCGATTAATGTTGTTCTCAAATCCTGAAAGAGACAAAGCAACGCAACGTTGTACACGTTAACTCTGCTCTTTTAAATATGCGTTTTAAAAATTACACATGCTGCCGTATTTATCGAATAATACGATTCTGGAATAAATGGAAGTTGAATTGTCGCTTGAAAGAAAATTCTAACGGATGATTATTGCGAAGGATTAACTTGATATCCCATCACGAGAAATCAAATTCGGATGTATGGCATAATAAAATATTAAGTTGTTATTTTAATTCCAAATTTACTGCTCGCGAAATAAGTTTAAAAAATAATCGAAGTTTTAACAGTTTCTTTGTGTGTGCGAGGTTTTGGTAATAAAATAAATAAATTTTGAATTAATTTGCCCTCGAGATTAATATTGATTTTATTGCTTATTTTAAACTTATGAAAATAAACCAAACGTATGATAATATTAGTTTGCTATACAATGAAGTGTGTTAAAAAAATTAATTGCTCTTTTAATATTGAAATGTTTTCTGAATTCATTGAAAAATATACTTCTCGCAAGATTTATCAGATAAATTTAAAATATACCTATATTATTCATATAAAGTAATATCTCCCCACAGTATAACTAATATTTTAAAAAATAATAATTGATTACATTTTTATTTTCTTAAATAAATATTTAATAGAAAAAATTGTAACATGTTTAAAAAATTGATAAATGAATAAGAACTTTTATTTTACATAAGTAATTTAAAGAATTATAAATATGCTGAAAAATTATTTTAAGTATAAACTAAAATCTAAAG